CGAGGTTCCCCTACGTGTGGAGATGATGGATTTCGTGAAAGGCGTGTAAGACTAGTTGGGAGAACTTTCAGTCCGAGTGCGCAGGTTATTTCAGCCCAGCGGTTTTGCTCCTCGGCTTGTCTACCTTTTAGCGATTCGCTAGTGGGTTCTGGGACGTTTGAACATATTACTGTCATCGCCTTTTGGTTGCGTAGTAATTGTTTGTTCTGCAGTTCCTTGTGAGCGTAGGTTTGTCGAGTGGGGGTGTCTGGCTTGTCTTCCGTGGACGATAGGCCAAGGCTACAGCAAGAATTTTTACGTGCAACGCCGTTAGTTGCACTATCTGTAGGGGTCAATTGTTGTTGCCCAGCTACTGACGGAGGTGAGCGTGCAATTTGTGCGTAACTCTGCATGCTTTGGCGCATTACGTGAGACTTGGGAGACCGTTCAACCGGCCTGTTTTCACTGCTGTTTTTCACTAACGGTGTTTGCCTTTCGCTGGACTGGGTAGCACTGTTGCTAGAGAGCTTTTGCCTTTTAACAGGTCGGGGATTCGGGCTACGTAATGCACTAATCTGCAACTCGAGTTCTGAGATTTTCCCTCCCAATACCGCGATCAGTTCCTTTTGGTCTGCCGACGTAACAGCCAATGCTTCACACCTTGTCGTAAGCATTTGAACAATCTTAATTATCGGACTATCTGAACATAAGTCACAAAACCACAAGCTATCTGTCGATACGCTGTTAGCTCCGTTAAGTGTAATGTTCACATTTGTTGCGTCGTATGAATTGGCACAGAACGAACACGTGATTTTCGAGCGGATTTCAGTTCCCCGCTTGTCTGAGCTACGGTTGACCTTAGGTTTGTTGCTCACTGGATTCCCGGTTGACAAACTTCTCCGGCCTATGGATCAATGGTCGGTATGCACTTTTAGGTTTGGCTGGTCACGCCGTTTGGGCTGCCTCAGTTGTCTGCTCCGGTCAGCGGGTTTGGTGGTGGTGCGTCACCAGGCGCACGAGTAGCCAAAATCACACAGGCTTTGTGCAGTGAAATGCACGTAAAAATATGGTGGTGAGATGACAAAAATGCTTGTACCTATGGTATACCGTGGTGCACAGTACTGTTATATATTGGCTGATAGCCTTAAAGAAGATCTGTCGATTGGTATCCCAAAGGTACTGATGAAACTCAAATAAGCAAAATTACTCAAGTTGGCCTTAGTGAATAGACTTCTGAAGATTTTGTGGTGTACCAGAGTGTCGTTGGACTTACTTCAAAAATATAGACACCGTTGGATAGAGCTCAGTGACCCGAATCGATTGAGCGTACTTCCGAAGACGTGTCACAAGAATGTGAGGGGATAAGTCCAATTGAACACAGAGCACAGGATTGCACGATTAGCACGCACACGCTGAAAAGGTCATGTCGATAACATGCGTGGTCATCCGGTAACCGGATCCAGTTCAACGTGCCCAAGTGCAAAGCCGTAAGCATACGCCATCAGCTTATTTATGCATATCGACTTGGGGACCAGCACTTACAACGTGCTTCCCAAGAAAACGACCTCGGGGTGATCGTTCAGTACGATCTTGGTTGCTGGAGACAGGCTGAAAAGGCATCAAATAGAGCCAGTCAACATCTTGGACTCTTACAGAGGGCTTTCGGAAATTTTGATCCGTCGAGCTTTCCGCAAATGCCGTACGCCTACGTGAGGCCTCACATGGAATATGCGATCCAGATCTGGCGTCCCGGGCGCAAGCGCGACGTCGATGCACTTGAAGCTTCACAACGTAGAGCGATCAAACTCGTTAGAGGATTGTTTCATCTCTCCTACCAATGCAGACTGCAGTCCCTGAGGTTGTACAGTGGTGAATATCGAGGTCAGCGAGGAGACCTAATCATGGTTTACTTAATACTGACGAATCCAACTCACCCATGTCGCAATCTGTTGCAGCTGAGCCAAAATACCAACCTGAGAGGCCATCAGCTCAAACTGGCTACGCACTACAGTCGGCTTGATTGTCGACGAAACCTTTTCTCCCTCCGTGTGTCCCGTGCCTGGAATGCCCTTCCGACTCACATTATCCTTGCCCCTACATTAATGCCATTCAAAAAACGGCTTGATGAAACGCTTTCTAACTTGCATTACGAGTGAGCGTTGTCGTTTCTTTTTTCTTTCTCACGCCTTCACTGAACTATAACGGCGCTTTATACTATTTTGTGTGCACATCCCACTTCACCTTCAAACTATCGCTATACAGTAATGCATTTAAATCGGTAGGCGCTTAAAAAGTCGATTTACTTATTCTATGATCCTTCAAATTTTAATTTTTACTCCAACCATCCCACAGGACTTGTCAAGCACATGCTTTTTTACCCGAGCTAAATCACTGATCATTGTTATAGTTGAAATTTGCCAGTATGCCTGATTTTTCTCCAGTTGAGTATTGTTATCATTATGGCCACGCACTTCGGTGCTCGGATCGTTATCGATGCTGTAGGCCATCACTCATCACAAAATCAAATTCGTCTGATGGGGGAGGGTTGCTCCGCTTGTGTCTGATTACTCGTGGAGCTCAATGACCTACTGATCATGACGATAGCCACCAAGCACTATGCGCCAAGTTCCAATTCCAGCTCGGATATGTCTACCTGATGAGTCCAAACCAGGACGAATCCGTCGGTTGTGGAGTGCATTTTCCGATCATCTTTTACGGTCAGACCGCAGCGATTGGTTGTGGTGTTTGTCCTTCCGATTGGCTCAGTGTTCACACCTGACGCAGAGAGCACACGATATTTTGTGCATTTATGGCTTTATATATGTGGTACATGTGAGTGCCAAACTACGCCAGGGGCCATCCACCTCTCGCTCCTCTCATAATGTCGTTAGTGTTAAGCGGATAACTGAAGCCCTCGGGGGCGTTCCTTGCCAACGGTTTCACCTCTGTCTACCACATCCGATTAGGTTCTGACGTTGGTATTTGGTACACTCTTTAAATTACGATTGCGAGTTACATTTCCCACTTTTGTTCATCCTATTTTCTGCAAGTTAAAGAGCATTCCGTGCTGATCGCTCTGCACCTTAGCTAAACAGCGAGTGTGTTCCTATCAGGAATTAACTTGTCGTCTTTTGGAGCTGCTTTTTGTGACGCATTTGCTTCAGCACTGTACAGTTGTAGTTTTTATCCACGCAATTGTTTTGGTTTCTATTTATTTATATTTTTCCTGTGTTTTACCGTTTTTCACTCATAAATGTGTATGTGTGGCCTTCGCAAACGCGGAGCATGAGTTGGTTTGCAATCAAAAGCTGTGAACCGCAAATCGACGTATTGTGTGAAGCGTACTACAAATCGCGATATTTTCCCTTTACGCACTTCGCGGCAGGTTTTTTACTTTGTTCGGCACTGCTTCGTATGCATGCAGTTCAATTCTTGCGGCCTGAGTGCCTGTTTACTTTACTAAGAGCTATCTTATTAAATTCTTTTGTAAGCGACAAACCCGCTTGGTGTTCGAACAACTCCTAATACACCCGGGTCAAACCGGAACAATTCGGAGGGTAACTATGAGACTGTTAAAATGCACAACAAAATGCAATACGGAAATACTTTAACAATACCCGTTCAGTTCTGAAGCAATTGAATCTTTACAGTGAACAAGAAGACAGAAAGTGCAAGTCACCGTACTTGGACTGTACAACCGGATCACAAAACCGAGTCTGCGAGCCGAATCCAACGATCACACAGTAGCGTTCTATAGAAAGTGGTGGAGAGCAAAACGGAGGTAGCAGTGGTTCCGGTTGTTGACTCTTCGCAAGTGGGAGGTGGCTCTTCGGATCCAGAGGAGGTCACTGTGAATGGGAGAGTGCAGTCGAACCATTGTAAGTCCTGTTTTCTCCCACAGTGGATGGGGCGGAGTTAGGGCGAACCAGATCGAGAAACCAACGGATGCTCAATGCGAAGAAAATCCTTTGAATTTGAAGTAGTGTAACCGGTAGAATTACCGTGCAATTCACAAGTTTGATATCGGAATCTCACTTCGAATAGCCACATAGGACACCTGCGCCATACGCTAAACTCTGTCGTACCAACTATTTGTCTTACTCCGGTGTCCTCCTATTCGTTGCTCCTATGCTTTCATTCCAACCCCCACTGTTACAATTGCCCGCACCCACATTGGGCATACTTACCGCAGAGTTAAACACACACACACATGCCGACATAGATTCATTATCGCTACAGGGGCACATCCACCCGTGTTGTTCCCTTTATCCCACAGTTGCTCCGAAACACTACTTCCACCCCCCTTGAAGTTAACCGCTAAGAACCCAACTCATTGTATCCCTCTACACAGTGTAAAGCGAACTAATTGTGTAGGGTTGTGACCCAATAAAAGCACTGTTGGATTCTGCTCGCAGACTCTGGGTTTTGTAATCCGGCTATACAGTCGCAAGTACGGTGACTTACACTTTCCTTGTCTTCTTGTCCACCTTGTAAAAACTCAGTTTCTTCAGATCCGAACGGGTCTTGTTGAGGCATTTCTGTTTCGAATTTTGGTATGCATTTTAACAGTATCGTAGTTACCTTGCGACTTTTTTCGGTTTGACCTTGGTGTACTACAAGTTGCTCGAACACCAAGCAAATCTGTGGCTTACAACTTTCCTGGTCTTTGTGTTTGTATGATCTTTTCGAACACTACGGTAAAACCTCAATGATGGTGATCCATGTTTGTGTGAAATTGCCTATCGCATATCTCGCTAGCCGTCAAGTTTGATGCCGCAACAGGTTGTTGATAGGGAACCTGATTTGTACAGTAGCGTGCCACATTTTCTACAATGAGCTGATGGTCGTTTGGAGTGACTTAATGCCTACAACTTACCTGTATATTATGTTCCAAGTGTTAGATCCTTGCTGGGCGCCATTTACTTTGCTCACTGACATTTACATACTTCAGTCAACCCATTGTCATCCTCTTGACATTAATTGTGATTGAAACTTCATTCTGTGCTTTCTCTTCGTCTCAGTGCTTCCGGTGTGGTCTACGGTGGGGTGGAGATTGCCACAGGCCGACGCGTAGCCATCAAGCAAATGGACTTGAGGCAGCAGCCGAAGAAAGAGCTGATCGTTAACGAGATATACGTGATGAAGGCGAAGAAGCATCCCAATGTTGTCAACTATCTGGATAGCTATCTAGTCGGAGATGAACTTTGGGTCGTGATGGAATACCTAGATGGCGGTTCTTTGACTGAGGTAGTCACCGAGACCTACATGGAGGAAGGACAGATAGCCGCCGTGTGTAGAGAGGTAAGGTTTACGGATATTTTTCACACACAGTGAATTCACGTCTTGTCACCAGACTCATCTGTGCAAGCAGCCGCCGGATGCTTTCACAGAGGATCAATTTGGAAGCTGACCCTCAACTCCTTAGGTGATGTCGGGTGAGGGTGAAGAAAGCCAACTACATGTGGCAGCAAGGTTCGTATCACATAATCAGATAGACCAGAAACCAAAAGTGAATATTCACCTGCCATGGGTGCATAGAGCACATTCAGTGGTTGAATTGGAGAGCAAGAGAAGCGCGGTTTCTGCGGAAGTGACCGGAGTGGTTTGTAAATCTGCAAGGATGATGTACACCATTTTACTATCACTGACAGCACCCATCGACTTCGGTGCGACAGCCGCCTTCGTCTTGACAGCTAGCATGGTTCTCCTATTACCGTTTGATTTTATCGACACTGTAAAATCTTTCACATCGTTTGCTTTTGTTCGGATCCCACTCATTTGTTAGGAATTATCAATACTTAAGGTTTCGTTTACACGGTACCAGACCAGGTTGGCAGTTAGGTGTAAAAGACACCGTCGACTAGGGAGTGTCCACAGTTGATCGACGCCATCCTCCCATTAATGCCATTCATCTCTTTTACTGGTTTTTCTTCTGCCAGTGTCTCCAAGCCCTTGACTTCCTGCACAAGAACCAGGTCATCCACCGCGATATCAAATCGGACAACATTTTGCTCGGTCTTGATGGATGCGTGAAACTAACCGACTTCGGATTTTGTGCGCAACTGAATTCCGAGCACAGCAAACGATCAACCATGGTGGGCACTCCATACTGGATGGCCCCGGAAGTTGTCACACGCAAACAATATGGGCCGAAGGTGGACGTTTGGTCTTTGGGTATCATGGCAATCGAGATGTTAGATGGGGAACCCCCTTACTTAAATGAGAATCCCGTTCGCGTATGTCACCATTTCCTCTTTTTATATTGCATGTGATTAAAATTGTGCAGTTACTTATGAGTAGCAAGGATTATCTGCAAATTCGACCCGGGAGATTGCACTCCATGTTGGGTTTCGTTTATGTTCACACCGACCAGGTAGGCATTAATGAACCGGGACTTGAAGCCGAAACATTGAGATCATTACTGCCCCCTCGATTTTGGTACGCACTCCCAACTTGGATCGGGTCGTACGCCGGGAAACGAGTCAGTCTGTAGGCTGGAAGGTGTTTACAGCAGAAGTCCAGACAGGTTGAGCACCGCAGTCCATTCACGCGAGCACCGTAAGACATTGGTTTACAAACACAGTCGATAGCGTAACTTTTGTCCGACAATAAAGCCTCTGTGTCGTATACATTTGGTGCAGCCTGCCAGTCTGTGACAATACCTTAAAAGTGGGATCGGAGTTGTTCTCCGCCTTAAATTCAAGACCAGCATGTCAACGAATTTCGGAACGTAACTCTTTGTACATGATATCAGTCGAGTATTAATGTCGGTTGCTAGTAATTCGGACCAGTAAAAGACAAGCTCGAGAGTGCTCATTAGGAGGCTGCTAACCAGCGAAACTTCTGTTCTGAATGTCTGAATCCAGCAGTGCTCGGCCTCATACAACCGCTTCGCAGAATCTGTGGGTAGCACACTTTAGAAGTCTCATTCATAATGCCACTACACCGGCAAAGGCTACCTCATTCGGTAGTGTGAGGACCAAAAATTAGGAACGCTGACACCCTACACGACGGTGCGATAATTTTGCATGTGTCAGCCTTAACATAACAGATCAGCCCTATATGAAGGAAGGACAGCCGCTATGTGTAAAGAAGCAAGGTTTGTGGTTATTTTTCACAGCGCAGTCCATATGATCACTGTTCCTTTGAATAACTTAACCGTCTTATATATATATCGTCTCCACCGTCATAGTGCAAATTTCCCTCTGTGTTCCTAATTGTAATAGTTACTCTTAAATCACCATTACCGTGACATATGCCTTGTTTGTCATTCGGCACTTTGTCACCCGCATCGGAACCATTCGTTGTTTGCTTTAGGCGCTGTATCTTATCGGAACGAATGGGAAACCCGAGATAAAAGAGCGTGAGAAGCTCAGTCCGGAATTCCAAGACTTTCTCGACCGCTGTTTAGAAGTTAAAGTGGAACAGCGTGCCACCGCACAGGAACTGCTACAAGTAAGAGTTATTGGATCTGTGTTTTGTGAACTCGTGCTACAAATATTGCACCGAGTTTTGTGTATGTCACCTACATCATCGTATTATCTCGTAACTCCACTCTGTAGTTCCCTGCGCATGCGCTTCGGAATACTAGGGTAACGTCTTTACACCTGTATACCGCGAACAGCAAATCGTCCCTAGAGGGATAGCTCACTTAATTGAGATTTTTCGCCAAGCTATTTATGGACGGCGCAACAAACTGCTTTTATACGCCGAATGTTTCCGTGGATTTGTAAGTGTGGCATATCAAAGCATCCAGTCTTCAAAATGAGGGTAACCTCGCCGCTCGACATTGCGCAACAGCAAGTCGAGGATAGTCCTACATTGTTAGATCTTAGAGGATCTGTCTTCTTTCAGTTTGCCTAAAAATTTTGTATGAGTGTTCACTGCCATTTACTATTTAACACAATCCGCTTTGTCTACTTTTCAGCACCCATTTATTATGCAGTGCTCCAAGCCACTTTCTTCGTTAACCCCCCTGATTCTTGTGGCGCGGGAACAAGCAAGACAACACAACAGCTAACACTAACTGACGACCCTCTTGGATATCCGCATGCACGAGTGGCACCGCAACCAATCCCGTATCCCTCTAACGTGATGGATGAGACTAAATGCTCCACACAAGGGCACCATTTGCTGAGCTAATCCACCAATTTTGTTGTTTTGTGATGAACCACGGCTGCTGCGAATCGTCTCTCTTGTATCAACTAGATGTGTCATCTAGTACAAGTTTTCTAACTACGTGGCAAATCATCCCAAAATGTCGATTAGCATCCGACGAGTGATGTATATAGTGAGACGTTCGTCTCTGTGTGATCACGTTTGCGAGCAAAGACTCGTTCCCCATTCCTTACACTATTCGCTCGCATCGTATATTCTGTGAATGACCACTGGAGCATGGTTTCTACCGCACAGAGAATGCTATCCAAACCCTACATTTCAGACAGAACGACTTCTTGCTGCTGTCTTCCCAACAGTGCAAACGGAGATCGTTATTTTAAACCTCATTTGCCTTTCTGAGTTTTGCTCATTGCTTCTAACCTATACTTTATGAATTGGCATATATTATTGATCTTCCATTTGTTATGGTTCTCCCACCCACATCGGTGCATCTTGAGTACAGCTTCGACGCGTCCCAATTCCATGGCGTGTGACCGCCCGATTTCACTTTCAAGACGTTACACCAACATTTCACGCAATGGAGCTTGGGTCAGTAGCCTAAACTTCGTTCTCGATCTTCGGGGTCGCTGCACTCATGCGATCAACGAGTCAGGTCCCAGGGCGGTAGTATAGCATCCTCATTGGTGGGCTCAGACTTTCAAAAATGATCATTATTAGGTGCTTTTCCGCTCAACATTTTTTGGACTCAAAACTGTGCAACTCACTAGCCACCAACTCGATGAAGCGATACGTAGCGTCTCTAGATCGATCGTGACTATTTATAGATTGTTCAACATCGCATCGCGTCTCGAATGCATCCCGAAGCAAAGGTCACATGAGCAAACTTAGTTAACCAATTCGTTACGAAACCGATGTGTGCGATATAACCATCCCTCGAATAATAAGCTGCATTACCGATCAAACAACAAGATTCGACAATCATGCGAAGTTTGCCATGTAGGAGATCTATAAATGATACATACAATGAATCAAGTAGAAGGACAGAATGTACAGGAATGATCGACGGGACACAATTTGCTTATTTACAAGGGCAGCAAGGATATGGGGCAAAATATATACGCCGTTATTTAAGTAGATTCTTGATGATTCAGCCATTGAGCAATTCGTTCAGTAGGAGTTACTTCCGTGGAGAAGGAACGGAATTTTTTCAAGTTGGACGCACACAATTTTTGTCGGGTTCGGTATGCACGATGACGTTCAGAAGTTTGATATCGTCGCTCTAATGAAGGGAAGATGGGTAGAGCGGCAGTTTTTGTGGTCCCGGATGATGGGTTGCAAGTTATCGTCCATAGTGCATTTGTGCAACTGACAAACTCACGAATACAAGACCAGACGACGTGTGAGATTTGGCTAACAATAGTCAGTGAAAATTATGCAGTTATCAAACCTTCAGACCAGTGAAACACTGGGTACGTGAAAAATAAGGGTTTTTGAGTAACCGTGACCATAACACAAAACAGATCCAGTTGTGTCCCACAATATTTTAAGTTAAGGATGGGTGAAATCATACATGGATTCGTCCATGCGTGGAGTGCTGCGCAAAAGTCCCAAGGATGATGGTAAAGCCACGCTATTTGTGACCTACGCATAAGGGTTTGAGTTAAGTAATGACATGATGTTTGATTGACGTGATACAGCCGGCTTTAACAGGGTGTGACACTGAACATCGCCCCAATGAACTCACATCAGTAACTCTGGGACACTCGGCAATGACTCTGTGGCTTGGCACGATTCACCGTTTATTCAAATTTCGTCAGGCTATCTTGAAGGTTAATTCGCAGAGGAATAGGTGGTAATAATAATAATGTGGGAGCTGCACGTCGTAACGGCGCTTCGCTGCCGCGCGACCACTACCAGTCGCGCGCGGACTATACTGCGACGAGGCCCACCCTTACGTGGGTTCGAACCGGTGACCTTATGATTGCAAGCCAGGTTTGAAGACCACTCGGCCGCCGACGGTGGGCTAGCAGATTGATACTGTAAGCTGGTAAGCTAAGTTATGAGATGTCAGTGAGCCGCAACAGTAGCAAGGTATCATTCATCGCGACGAGACTGGACTCTAATGTGGTTCGATGGCATGTGTGCCTCAGTGATCTACTGAGCTATGCTGGGTAACGGTTTTTGCACCTTCGGAGCCACTCATACCATACTGGTCAATGGTTAGACACCAGACAAACTCAGTCTCCTGGTCCCCCGGTTGGAGTGAGGGTGGTTCCTTACTCCATAAAACGAATTCTCTATATCCAAATCCGCCCTGCCTTGCGGTCAGGTTTTTGAACTAAAGGCTTTGGTGGAGAACCTTAATAGTTCTCCTGTCTAGGCCTGGACAACCTGACAGTATCCTGCCCACGCAATACAAAACCATGACTTTTCGTCCCACCAATCTCTCGATGTTCTGGCCGTCGCAGAGGTTAACAAACGGCGCAACGAGCAGGATGGAAACGGGTTTGGATGCTACTGCTCACGTCTTCTCGTTTTCTTATTCCCCTAATCGCGCCTTTTAATCCATAAAGTCCCACTCTAATTTCACTTTTATTCCCCTGTTTTCAATCCCTGAATTCTTGGCCCCCCTCCAGCTTGCTTCAGTAGTCGCTTGTCTGTTAGTTTCAACTCACACACGATCACAAGGCGTTGCGCCAATCCAGTCGACAATTAAGACATCATCATCATCATCCGACAAGTCCGATAACATCAGTTCATCTCTTTCTCTTTGGAGTCCTCGCTAAGACCGGCATGCCTCAATGTGCGCACTTTGCTACAGATTAAAAAATAGGCAGCACTTGCCCGAACACTAAAGACCCTATCGATGGATATTTGCTGTTTATCAGAAACCCGCCTTCAAAATCCGAGCTCCGAGCATCCACTGCATTCCCTCACATGCGACACTTGCGGCACATTCTTATTGCTCCTGTCTGGCGATGACGCAGCTTCAAATGCAAGTCAAGCTATCATCGACATTGTTTTGAGTCCCTAGGCTGAAGCAACCCTGTTCGATCGGATCCCCGTCAATAGCGGAATGTGCGCCGTTAGACTAGCTGGCTCGTTCCAGGTTTCGAAGTTGCTCGGGGACAAACGGTGCCCGTTTGTCCTTGCGGCCTACGTCGCCACAAACTGCAGCACTGATTAGGTGAAAGATCATTTCTATCACCAAATTAACGATCACGTTCGTTACAAAAGGAGCACGGATAATGTGGTGCTCTGAACGCACAACTCGGAAAATTGTCCTCCCACGAGCGGCCAACATGGTGTAGTCTCCCGAAATGATAACGGTTAACGGTTGCTACATCTGAGTGAAGATGCTCGTCTATTTCTCGCAGAAGAGTGACTTGGCATCCATCAGCGATGGACGCAAATCGATCATATCGCGATCAGTTATTGCTGGAGAGACAGAGTCCAAAAATGTCGCTCGATTTGGAGGATCAGCGTGGACTCCGACCACGCTGTTATGTGTGCCAACCTTCGGGTGCGTTTCGGCGGACGTTCGCAACGTCGCTGTGAACGCTTTAACACCAGCTAGCTAGCGAAGCCAGGTGTTCTGAATGCGTATCAAAATACGTTGATACCGTCGAAGATCACTGGTTGCATATTTGCCAAACGTCGCTATCAACAGGCAGGTCTTCAGGTGGCAAATCAAATTGCCAATATGGGCATTGGGTCTCGATACATACTGGAAATTTTTGATGTTTACTGACGCATTCCGGTTGGAATCGAATACAATGAGACACGTAAAAATCTCAGGGCAAGACTGCGTGCTAGCCTGAAGAGCACCGCCATGTTTATGGGCGACCCAGTGTTGTCGTGTTTCTCAACATCATCATCAACATCGATTCGGTGGATCGATGTGTTCTTTGGGACTGTTTACTGAGAATAGGTGTGCGCGATAAATACGTAAACATTATCAAAGCGCTGTAGGCGCATAGCTCGGGTAGAGTGAGTGTTGATGGCAAACTGTCGCCACCCTTCACTATCTCCAGCGGTATGAGACAAGGTTGCCCGCTGTCACCTTTCCTTTTTAACTTCTACATTGGCGAAATCATGGAAACGGCGTTCTCTGAACACGATTTAGGTGTGGAGCTACTTCCTGGTGAGCGAATTCATGATTTGGAGTATGCGGATGACAATGTCCTTTTATCTGTGACAGCTCCCAAAGGTGCCAAGCAGCACTGGATTGACAGCCAGCACTGGCTGTCAATCGTTTTGGGCTATGTTTAGCCCCAATGAAAGGTAAAGTCCTTCTCCAAAATTGACAGGGACGCACCCCTGCGCTGACCCTTGGTGGTGATCAGGTAGAGATCGTTCAGAAATTCAAGTACCTGGGCAGCTATATTAGCGCCCGTGGGATCGAAGATGAGTTTACGAACCGTATAGAAAAAGAGGTGCTTTTGCCAATCTCCGCCAGTTGTGGCGCAGACGCGACATCACCCTCGCCATGAAGGGTAGAATATAAAACACAGCCATCCGTTCAACCCTCTTATACGGTTATAAAAGCTGGCCAATCAGCTGGATAGACATAAAGAGACTAGTCACGTTCGATTGTTGCTGCCTTCGCAGCTTAGCTCATGTCTGGTGAGAGCATCATGTGAGCAATGAGCTTGTTCAGTGTCGCATATTTGGCGCAGAAAGAGCTAGTGAATCGCTCAGTACCATTATATCACACACCAGGATTCGATGGATGGGCCGTGTTCTGCATGCCAGCACACCGACTCCCGCGACGTGCGTTGTTTGTGTGCCGGAGGTGCAGTTGGAAGAGAAGGGGGGAGGCCAAACGATGACTTGGTCGAGAAATGAAAACGTCCACCTCGAAGATGGCATCGACTGGTGCATCCCGTCTGGAGTCCAAATAACGAGGAACACGTTTGGTTGAACACACTTGCTGATATGGCGAGCAGCCGACCCCAGTGGCGTTTGTATTGTGGGTTTCTTTGTCCAACCTCTTTAGATTTCCTACCAGTCTCGACCCCATACGGGATGCATAGTATAATATTTAACACTATACTACTTGCTTATGAATTTGTAGGTAGTGTAATTTTTTAGTATCTTATTTATGTACTGTGGCACATTAGCTGAGGTTCCTCACACTCAACGTATATTGATGATGACGAGCAAGGTATCCTCAGCCTAAGCATTTTAGAGAATTGGCTTTATGTTCCGCACTGTGTATCTGCGTGGATTTGAACTAGTCCAGAAATGTTGTTTGTCCGTTACCTGCAAACTGAAAACGGACTTCTCCGTAAACATTACGGAGTGAATGTAAATGTGATCTCAAAACCAACGAAACATCACTTCGTGGTAATACCCTCTTAAATGTGGATTCATATTGCGTTTGTGGATGCTATGGTTCAGTGTATGACAAAGCTATACTTCTGAGAACAACTGCGATAATGCCGCTGATACTGTATGCATCTGAGACTTGACCAGTTCGTACGGAAGACATAAAACGGTTGGCCGTCTTTTATCACCGAGTCTCACGCAGTATTGTACGCATCCGGTGGGAACACAGGGTGAGCAATGCTGAGGTCCGCCTGTTGGTTTTTTGCAAGAAACTCCCCGGTGCCTCACTTCAGTGTCTCTTGAATTTGAATCGCTAACGTTCGTTAGGTCGTGTACTCCGTACATCAGGTAACCGCCTTCCCCGACTAGCATTATACGCCGTCGCTGCACCAAGATGGGTGAAACCACAAGGTGTTCAATCGATGACATGACATAGAGGTATGAAGAAATTGACCGAGAGACTTGGTCAAGCTGGTACGTGCAGTCCTCGTAGATGGGGGCCTCGTGCTAGTCCAAACCAATGGTTAGAGATTCAATCAAACGTGGCGCATTGTTGGAGTCAGTGCTGCTCCTGGATTCGCTCTCTTGCGTTTAGCTGTCCATACGTCAATGCGATTAGCTTCATACACCTCGTTCTTTCTTCCATCCTGCTAATACCATATTTAAGTCTAACTGTATTTATTTATCGTTTTTTATTACTGCCACTCTGGCGACGCGAGTCGTAGCAACTGAATCCACGGCATTTTGGTGCCCGGATCACGATTTATCAACTGCACTAAGCCGAACTGAAACAACCGCGTAATCTTTAAGTATCGTAGGTTATTTATGAAAGATAAATTCCAGGTAGAACTTGGTTCAGTTAACAGGAAAGCAAAAATACCAAGTCGTTATTATTCCCAATGTGAAAGGTATAGTTTAAAGTGGTGCTTTTTTCCTACTGTGCTTCTT